CCCTTATCCCATGGGACACCTCTCCTTGATATGCCACCCTTATAACAAATGGACACCTCTCCTATATATGCCACCCTTATAACAAATGGACACCTCTCCTTGATATGCCACCYTTATAACAAATGGACACCTCTCCTTGATATGCCACCCTTATACCTTCATCAAAACATTTATAAAATAATTCCAAATAGACCGTAGTCATTGGAATTTTTATCAATCCAAAATCATTTATATCAAAACTTCGTTTTATGATAAAATAACAATTTTTTTTATCCAATCACAAAGTATTATCTCAAATCCAATCAACAAGTCCGATCAACAAATCCGGTCAATCAAATCCGGTCAACAAATCCGGATAACACATCATAACACTGTCAGGATAACAAGTCCGGTCAACACCACATACTTAGAAAAATCTCAAGTTTGTCCGGATAACAAATCCGGACACTAGTCCGTTCAAAACTTGCCCGGTTTAAAGATAAACCGCTTGAAACTTAGCCGGTTTAAAACAATCCGGACAACAAACCGTTCACAGCTTGTTCGGTTTAGACTAATCCGGGCACTAAACCGCTTAAAACTTAGCCGGTTTAAAACAATCCGGACAATACCCCGTACAAGGCTTGTCCGGTTTAAAGATATCCGGTCACTCTCTGTCCGGTTTAACACTTAGTTAATAAAATCAAAGTTTCTTTTCAAATAAGAACAATACTAAACATTCAAATAAAACTCGTAGAATCTTTATACAAAAGATTTAGAAACCACTCACTTTAAAAGCTTTCGAAACCAAATGCTTGCAATCAACTTCTTTGAAGCTCAGCACAAAATCCGGACGACTCTCTTATCTAGAAACTCTCTCTCAACTTCTAAAAATGGCAGGAAAAGAACAAATGAAGGGGGTAAACCCCCCCCCCCCTTTTATACTCTCCAAATGGGGAAGGTCGGCTAACCGCCTTCCCCCCTCCTTATCCATGTGCACACACATGCACCACATGCATACCTACACGTATGCACACCCATGCACACATATATACTTATGCACACATGTACTCACATATACATAAACACATAACATAAGCCTTTATATATATATATATATATATATATTTATATATTCATACAAATATATATATATATATATATCCAATTAATTCACAAATTCTCATATCAGCATGTATCAATTATCATGCTATCACACAATTATTAAATCAGATAATCACGTAATTAATACCTTGGGTAATAAGCAGGATCTGGTTATTACACAAATCGATATTGGTCCCGAGTGGTTGAAGGGCGGGCCAATCCTAGTCTCAATGAAAAATGCTATGACTGATTTTAGACTCGTCAACCTGTCCCAAATCTGGAATCGCCCCCGGCCTAGTTATTTTTTAGGAATTATTATTATTGAAATATTTTTACACACAAACATTATACAAGTTATTATAATTATGATTTTTGAAATTGAAGGAATCTCAAGGATGGAGATTAAGAGCATATTCAACATATTTTCTAAAATTCTGAGGGTACTCGTGCAGTGCAGCGAGATACATTCAATTTTAATATTATTCTGTTTATGTAGATATAATACGGTTTTATTTGGTTTTGAGAAAACGACAATCTTTTTAGTTTGAGTAAAATATAAATTTGAAGATATCATAATAATTTGAAAAAAAATATATATATCGATATTAGTATCAGATTAACTATTTAAAAGTCTCGGTTTTTTTGTGTAACTTTTTAAATTTAATTTTTTTATTATAATCTAATTTAGGTTTAATAACAAAGTAATTTATTTTTAATTTAATAATATAATTTTTTATAAAGATAATAATTAAGTATTATGTTATAACTCAATGATTATCCTAATTATAATTCAATTTTTTTATATTTAAAAATGTGATATTTATCATGTAATTGATTATTTTTATCTGCATTTTGTCACACGAGTTCAAACATAGAGTTTTAATAAGTTGTACGTATGCACATTTTATCCGTAATATTAAATTTTGAGTAATATGCATCAATAAATAATATTTCATGCATAAACAATATTTTTTAAGAGTTTTTATCAAATGCTTTATAATATAGTATAGATAAAGAAAATAGATATTTTAGATATATTAATCAATTTGGTTTGAAAAGATTATTAAAAAAAATAAAAATAAATAAAGTAGGAGATAGATTAAAAAAATGTTAAAATTTCTAAAATTGAAAAATTATTTATTTATTATTTCACTAATCAAATTGAATGTATTAATTGTTACTAGAAGATTACTCGCGCAATGCAGCGAAACACATCTTGATTTTAATGTTCTATTTTATTATTTGTTTTTGTCGATGTTATAATATGATTTTATGTGTTTTGAAGAAAACAATAATGATTTTATTTTTGAATAAAATATAAATTTGAAGATATTATAAAAAATTAAAAAATATATATATCAATGTTAATATCAAATCAACTATTTAAA